GTATAAGCCGCACCGGACTATAAGCCGCATGGTTCAAAGTTCAGGAAAAAAGTCGCGGCTTACAGACTGAAAAATACGGTAATAGAAAAAAGATTTGTAGAGTCAGTGACGTGAAGTCTTTGGGTGTCATCATTGATGAAAAGCTGACATGGAGACCTCAAATTATTTAAGAACAAAAACAGCTAAATCTATTGCATTGCTGTACAAAGTAAGGGAGTTATTTAATGACAGAGTATGTATATGTTGTATAATGCAATGATTGTTCCACACTTGATCAATTGTATTGAAGTCTGGGGGAAAGCATACAAAACAATTATAAGTCCTATTTTATTTTACAGAAAAGATCTGTAAGACTTATCACTAGAAAACATTACAATCACCCATCAGATATATTATTTTACCAAGTGAAAATTATTGAAATTCTCTGATTTGGTTGATCGTAATATTTTACTGGTCATGTATAACGCTAAAAAAAGCATGTTAACCTTCCTTTAAAATATCCAACTTAATGTTGTTAAAAAAGAGARCTGTTAGAACCTTAAGTGGATAAAGATGTTTGTGATTTTATTTGTGACTTGTGTTTTATTTTCATTTTATTGTGTATAGAATTTACTTTGCTTTTAAAGAAATTAAAGTATTTTAATTGAATTGAACTAAATTGAATTGAATAAAGAAGAGCATTAGTAAAGAAAAACAACTTTGCTAGCTTGCAGGGAAATTGACAAAAATCGAAGGCTTTTATGCTCAAAATCAGGTTTTCGTGGCAACTGCCCAATAAAGGGCTACTATTTTATTTAAATGACCATATATAAAGGTATTTATTCAATATATTTTGACAAAATACAATTGTTGCAAACATATTCACAATGCATTCAAGCTGCCTATTTCTCCACAAACCACTTTTTAACTTAATCCTTGTTTCGATGTGATGGGTCACAGATATGAAATGAATTGATAACCAACAAGCAGGGCTTTGTTAACAATGCTTTTAAAATTTTATTGATCAGTGTACTCAAAAGCTCAACTTAATGACCAAACAACTAGCCTATCTAGCACAGGTTAGCAGAAGAGAAACAGATCAAACTAGTTTTGATTCATTATTAACATCCATGAGCAAAACAGCTAACAAATCTCTGGCTGTTTATTTTGAAACACAAGAGTGTTTAATTATGAGGTTTTCTCATGCAAAGCTCCTGAGAAGGAGACCTAAATTATTTTGAATGGAATTCCTTAAAGGATTTTACGATCTTGCGCAAATCCGAAAATGAGAGCAGGAGAGGCTGTTCCCCCCCCCCCCGGGGAAAATACTTTGAAATTCAGAAATCTATCAGAGTCCGCTTCAGTACAGCATGTCCATCACCACCACTGCTGCAACGTCCTTTACTTACATCACAGCTTTCTTTCATTTATTTTATCCTCGTCATTTTTATAAAGCTACAAATCTTTGGTTTTTAGGAATGGCTATTAACAAACATCTAGGGGCAAAATTAGAGCATG